TAAATTGAAATATGTGAATATATAATAATGAAATTATAAGAAGATGATCTTATATCTGTTTTTTATTCATAACTGATGACTCTTGAGATTTCGATAGCTTTTACTTTTCAAGAAAACATTATAAAGGCACTTTTATCGATTCAATGATTCATAGAAATGATCATATAAAATGAAGTTGAACAAGTGCAAGAAGAGGATCTAAGAAACAAATGACCTCAATCGAAGATTTGTAAGTGATTGTTTCGCTACATGTTTATCAACTTGAATGTGTTCTTTCCTAATTGGTTAAGTTATTAGTTTTTCCAACTGTGACTGTTGCCTTTATTGTTACATGAAACTGTCACTCTATTCTCCTCTAATTGGCCAAAAATTTTCACAAATTTAGTGAATATCAATTGGGAAATTTATTTGAATGCTAATTTTGTAAATATGAAAGTTCGTGTTTGAAATATATAAATATATAAGAATGGTGTGATATGTATGTAAATGGCCTTATCCATTTTTATTATACATTACTTAAGATTTTCTTTTGTATATGCAGCTTCTATGTTCTAATATTACAAGAAGGTTTGATGGTTGTTGGATAAATACATTTTCGTTACTTTCAATTTTGATGGCTATTGGACAAAGGTTACCAATCAAAATAGGAAGAGATATAACGATGGAAAGTAAAAATCCTAATAAACTTGGGCTCTATAAACTTGAGGTTGGCTTAATAAAATTTCACGTATTAAAAGAGAAGATCGAAGCAAATTATCCTTGATTAAATAAGCATAATTTTGAGTTATACAATTGTGTCTGTGAGACCTATGTTTTTAATCCATGCATCAATTGTTTTGGTTAGCAACTTGAAGTATTTTGTCTCGTTTTCTCACCCTTAACATTTCTATTGCTGCATATTCGCATGCATCGTTGTCATTGTATTGTACTTTTGTGATTGGTTTTCTTAACCTTTCCTTTTTATTGATCGTTGTCTCTTTTTGCTTGATAGACATGGTGGGTGAGAGAGTTATTACAATCGCTACAACTGAGGGAGCTCTGTCTCCTTCTCCCCCGGTGTCTTGTGTTTTTGAAGGTACCATAATCTTTGGTTTCTTTGAGCACCCTCTCAGATTATTCCTACACTTTCTGAGGCTTCTACTCTGTGCCCTCTGATGTGTGAAAAGATTGCATGAAATTTTTTTCTGTTTTGTACATCTCTTTGGATTAAATTATACTTTAAAGAAATGTATTTTTATGTTATTCTTACAGGTATAATAGGTATTAGGAATAGAATGAATTAAAAGGAACATGTAGCAAAAAGAAGAAGATATGGAGAAAAAGCAGATTTTGTGAAGGCAAGGCCATAAAGCCATGATGTTGGCGTTTAAGCACCTGTCTACTGAAGGCAAGGCAATGATACTGACCAAAGGAAGATATGTTGAGATTTTTATACCTATTTTACACTGATTTTGATGATATTGTACTTTAAAAAAAGTACTTTTGATGTTTTGTTGCAAGTATGTTGAATTATGGTCATTAGAGCAAAAAGATGCAAAAAGTTACGAATTTGGAGCAAAAAGGAACAAAATATGAAGATTTGATCTTGGGCGCCGACGGTGAGCTCGACGCCGCTGACGGTGGGTTTTTTCCGAGAGTCCAAAATTAAATATTCTAGAAGGTCTTCGACGGCACCATCGAGGCCGTCGATGGCGAGCACGTCGGTTCTCTCAACAGATGCATTGAATGTGGACGATTTTTGAAGGGACGCTTGGGCAACTCTTGAAAACTCTTCTACAACTTTAAAATAAACAATTTGGAGGCCGAAAAAGGGAAGGTGTCCAGTCTATTAGAGGTTAGTGAGAGTAATTT